GAGGGACCCCCCCCCCACCCCCGGAGTGCACAAATTTTTGGGCACCGGGCCTCTAGTATATATATAAAGAGCCAGGGTCCATAACGTCCAAAACAACCGAAGGCTTGACTAAACGTCAGGTGGGGGTTGGGTGGGGCGGGGCCAGGCGGGTGCAACGAGGTTTTTAACCTCTGGCCCGGGCAACCCACTGCCTCAGTGATTGACTCCAGCAGAACCTGGGCTATCCCCTCTATGGATCAGAGGCCCTTTTCCTGATACTAAGTTCCCAGGATATCTCAGACCCCTTTGTAGAAGTCAGGAAACACTGCATGTGGTCATCCTGCTCTGGGGACTCCCAGGGCTGACAGCAAGGGTGGGCTTCTGTGATTTCCCCTCTGTTATGTGATCCAGGATCGCTACGTCCTAATGTTGACTCTGGCAGGACTTGGGCCGGTCCTCTGCGTATCTGAGGTCTCGCTCCCTATAGCAAAGCTCCTGAGTCTGTGAGACCCAGATGCAGAAATTGCCTGTTGTTGTCATCCCACCCTGGGGAGTCCCAGGCTTACACCGGGGGAGGGCCTTGGTGGGGATCCCTTTATTGTGGCTTCCAGAGTCCCTTTAGTGTTTCCTCAAGGTCCTCACCTTGACTCTGGCAGGACTTGGGCTGGTCTTCTGCATATATGAGGTCCCGCTCCCTATACCAAAGCCCATAAGTCTCTGAGAGGTGGATGCAGAAATCGCCTGATGTTGTCATCCAGTCCTGGGTGGGATGATTCTATTCTAGGATCCAGGTTCCTTCCCTCCTCCCTTATGTTCCTCAGCTTGAGCCCTGGAAGGTCCTGGGATCCTCCCTCTGTTGACTCAAGGCCCGACTCCTCAAATCAAGGCCTCACTGCCCTGAGACCTCTGCAGGAAGTCAGTGTATGTCACATTCGGTACCAAGTCCAGCAATTCCATGGCAGGGGCTGAGATGGATACCATAGGGTCCTTTAGCCCTGCCTCTGATCCATACTTTGACAGGTTCTGGGCCTCTTGTCCTCTATGAACCTGAGTCTGCAACCCTCAAACCAAGGGTCTGACTACCCGAGTTCCCTGAGGAGGTGGGGTAGGGGGAGGTGCAGTTTTCCACATACAAACAGGAAGCCCAACTTTGGGAATTTAAATTCCTGCCTCATTCACCTTATACTGTTAAACCCAAAATCTAGATACTATATCTACTAAGATCACCCCCAATATTTTAAAGAAAGCTAAGATAACCAGTTGAGCAACTCTATTCATTAAAGACAGCCTAAAGGCAATGATTTCAACCTTGAAAACAGAAAGCTGGGGAGAGCCACAGTGACAGTGGAAAAAGGGGGGTGAAATGGAAAATTTCTCTGGTAGTAGCCAAGAAGTGAATGGTTTTCAAGGTTCATAAGAGCAACCTGTACTAGGGAAGCAGGATGATTCACATCTCCACAGAGACAGTCACATTACCTTGAAAAGATTTTAGGTAAATCTTATGAAAACTAGCTAATGGTGAAGGATGAGAAAGAACAATGAACCA